GTCTTATAGCTGGAAAAATACGGTATATGATTCCTTTTCCCGTTTCTGTTGTAAAAAGTTGTTTGTATAGATCAGTATACAAACCAGTAATGTAATTCAGACCAGTAATGTATACCTATTTTCATAAGTTTATTCACAATTGCAGGGTAGAAAGCCTTTCCATTGGAATCATTTTAGTCATGTTGGAAAGTGGCTATTAATTTTAAAATCAGTACTATCATCTCTCTATGGCATGACTGAGTTATCATTTTAAGTTGTGGTTTGCTTAACAGTGTGGCTGAATAAGCCACAGTTGGCTAATTCACACGTGTTAACAGTATTGAATGACTTAGAACAGAGTAACACATTTTTGAAAGAGTGCTAAACCCATGTCCAAAAATAGCCTGGCTGACAGGTCAAAGATGTGGAGAAAGTTTGCAGGATAAAGTGACAGGAAGCTCTCTTTGTCTCTTCTTTCATCTTTGCCCCCCACGCCTTTCTGATCTATGACCTGCCAGCCAGAGTATTTTTGGACATAGGCTCAGAGTTCTTCACCCAGTCTCTCCCCTCTGTGTTTCTGGCCTGTGAAGCTTGGAAGAAGTGGAAACATGAAGCAGAAGGGTGTGATCCATAACTAATAATGTCCATCTAGTGATGGAAGTACTGGTTGCAAGTGATTGTAACTAACAGCACCTGGAAGTAGCTCATGAAGAAGGCAAAATGGCATAGGCATAGAATTGCTACCCATTCCCCAGGTAATAAAACAGTAAAAAGAATGGCCACATAAATCCCTTTGTCATCAGAAGCAGCAGTAACTCTAATGCACTTATTGGTGAGAGAACCAGCAACAGAATATTGAACACCAAATTTAGCAGGACATGTTTCATATGAAGCAGAATCACTTCACTCGCTCTGTATTTATACAAGGTTGCATTTACAAGCATAATCAGGAAATGTTGAAATGCAAGGTCTGGAGAACTTTTAGAGGTATGGTGAGCCACATCTTTCCATATATTTCTGTGCAGCAGTGTAGATCAGTGTTTCTCAACCTTGACAACTTTAAG